GCATGTGCTTCCAAAGCATGTGGTCAGCACGGCAGCCTTTGCCTTTGCTTTGATGTTCGGAGGTGCATCACATGGTGCCGAAAATCCTGCTCCCTCGGCCAACCTCATGGCCGGCGTGAGACGTGCGCTCTTCTAAGGGATGTGGAAAGGCATCCAAGCTGGGCTTCCTGGCCATCCCCCAAGCAGGTCCTGCCAAGGTTCATGGGAGCGGGGCATCGCTCGAAGGGGAAGATTTGGCCCTTTGCAGTCCAAAGCAAGCTAAAGCTGAGGTCCCGAGGCATTATCTGGATTTCTGTGTGGGTTTTCAAGCAACGTTACTGCTTGAGGCAAGCGGTTGGCAGCCATGCTCCAAAAGGGATCTGGCAGTGACATTCTCAAATGTCTGGCTATCAGCTTTAAGTGCAGTAAGCTTTACATACAGACTGGAACATCGTTACTTTCTAAATGAGACAGAGGTTTGTTTTTTTTAAAGTACTTTTCTGTTCAGGCATTACATTTTCATCTGTGCGTGGACAAGGAGCCACCTAAGGAGCGCGAATGATGATGGTGGGGCCGAAGAAAAGCGTGTCCTTGGGGCTGCCCGCGTGATCGGGGTCCCCAGGGAGTTGGTACCAGGTCCTGCGGTGCCCGGCTGCCCTGCGTGGAGGAGGAGGGAGGCCTCAAGGGCCAGGGTCTTTGCTTTAAGCTAAGCTTAAAGGCAGAAGAGGTCCAGCAGAGGCACGCAGGTCCAACCTGCAACCCCCGGGCTTGCCTCTGCTGGCGGTGGGTGCTGCGGGCATCCCTTGCACCCCCAGCAGAGACGAGTGCCCCCTCCAGCCGGGAGCCCTCGTGTTCGTTAGGGCTCTCGATGCCACAACCAGCGAGCTACCACCCGGCAGCGATGAATCACAGCCGTGCCTGGAGAGGGGGTGGTTTGTGTTTGTGTTGGCAAAACTGGCTGCGAGTGGCGGCAGGCCCAGACAGCACGAGAGGCCGAATCTGGAAGGGCCCCTTTGCCGAGGCAGAGATCAATGGGAGATGGAGGTTTAACATCGCAGGGTGACAGTTCCTGCCAAGAGCCCTTCCACACTAAAACCAGCAAATCAATCTGCCATCCACGGAGTAACTCCAGATGAGGATTGCTCGTTTTGACTGATGAATACGATCAACAGTTTGCTGTTCCTTTAAAAGTGGTTTAAGAAAAAAGAAACAACACAATTATACTTTCCTGCGCATCAGAGAATCCTGTTTCCCTCCTCGATTAGAAGGGGTCACACCAAACACTGGGTCAACATTTGACGTAGCACAGAAGGGCAGGGACATCCCATAGGAGCTCAGCAAGAGGAAGAAAAAGGGCAAAGTGGTTCTCATTTACAAAAACACAGCAACAGTTAAGCCAATTCTAGATCAACAGCCCTAACCAGGACGCTGGGCGTCCTAGGAGGGCTTTTCAGGACCGTGGTGTAGTGTCAGATGGACATCTGTGGAGCACAGGCTGGTCAGAGACCACACGTCCCCACTGCTGGGAGCGGATCCGGGATGTTGCTTTGTGCCATCGGGGCTCAGGTTTGTCCATCTGAGATCAAGAGAAAGCTTGTCCCAGCTCCCCACCCAACAACAGACTCAGATCAACACCTTGATCAGAAAGGGGCATCTGGGGGGAGTAGTGGGGTTTCTTCTAAGGCTTGAACTCATTTGGGAAGATCTTTATCACATCAGTATTTGACAGGGATGAGACAAGATAAGCCGTAAATTCAGCATACATAATAGATTTGTTCATACAAATGGAGAATAAGGATTATTTTATTTCTGATATTAAAGAAAAAAATGCACAGTGCTTTATAAACAGGAAGGAACAGAAAAAATTTGCCCAGGGACCTTGACAAAGACCCTGATTCACAGCTGGTGTTAGCTGGTAGTGTTCTGGAGTACCCAGTCAGATCCATTGAGGTCACTGGAGTTAAACTAATTTAAACCAGGTGAGAAAACAGCCCTCAGTGAAACCCAGGAGATACTGAGTGCATTAGGCAGAGCTTGGCTGTCCCTGCTGGGACAACCAGGGTCCCCGCTGTCCCCAAGCCAACCCGGGGCAGCCTGCATAGTGGTGTCCCCTCCTGGATGTGCTCCTCAGGTTGGGTAACAGCATGTCTGGGATGTTCTGGCAGGGACGGGGCAGCTGTCAAGGGTTATACAGAGTCCTCACTGCCTCCTCTGACCTCAGGAGCTGCCTGCCCGCATTCACAGGGAGATTTATGGCCCTGTTTTCCTCTCTCTCCCGGCTGTGTTCAAGTGGCCAAGGGACTGATCCTTCATGGGGCTGAGCACTCCCTGTTCCTGGAGCGATGGGAGTCGGAGGGGCACGGCATCTGTCCCGTTTCCATTGGATTAGGCCAGGATTTGATTCCCTAAGAGGCTTCCTATGCAAAAGTTTTGCTGAAAGCGTGATTTCTCAGTTAACACAGGCTTCCTGTGCCTCATTTATAATGATAGTACAGTGACCCAACAAAACCATCATTGTCGTTCATGATAATTGCTTTGCCCTTTTTCCCAAGCTCCTATGGGATGTCCTTGCCCCGCTCCGTTCTGCCAAGCTCTGGCCCAACATTTGGGATGACAATACATCAAATCCAGCCATTCAGATGGCCTTTCCTTGAATGACCCCACAAACCTGCAGTAGGGACACAATTAAATCAGCTGAGTTTCATGTCCCGTGTGACCGCTCCTTCAGCTGCGCTCATTAACCTGTCATCATGCACTGGACATGATACTTGGGAGCCAAAAGCAGAAAGGTGCGGTGGGACTTACCTGGCCCTGGAGACTATCCCTCTGGATAGAGGAGGACGTAGCAAAGCGGAATACTGTTCTGTCTGTCTGATGCCAACCAGTGTCTGATTCTTCAGAACCCCACTCTGCTCCCCTGCAGCTGAAATGTGCCTCTGGGCAAGGGATCCTTGGTCTGGGAGCGGGGGGGGAAATAAGATAATGTTGTTTTTTCCTCCTTGGAAGGGAGTTCCACCTAGGGTGGGTCCACACTGGTGGGTCTCACTCAACATGGCTAAAGCTTGCAAGGAGGTGGCTTTCTGGCACCAGGAGAGGAGATGGAGGCTACAAGAACACCATGGACCTGCCAGCTCCCCACCTCTGGCCCAGCGGGTAAAGGGGTAAAACAGCCCCAAAAGACCCAAGATGGCAGGGAAAAATGACAACCATGGATACACAGCAGCAATGCCATGAACCGAGGGCAAATTCTCTGCACGTACAGCGTCTGTTGGCGTCATCACAGCAGCTCCTCCAGCGCCCGGGATACTCGCACTCTTCAAGACCCACATACAGCTGGTTTCAAAGCTTATCTGTAGTCAGTTTTACAATATAAAGTGTCTTTGTTTAGTCAACAGAACCACTAATACATGTGATTTTGTTGTTAATAGAGCTGTAAGAATTTTAAGTACCTCTTGGGAATGTGTCATTTTTGGTTGGCTTTTTTAGGCATCACAGGGTGCTGCATTTGTCTTTGTAAACAAGTATTGAATAAAACATTTTGCGCACAGCCGCACTTTGTACAAGTGTCATGCAGGTTTCTAAAGTTTCAGAGAGAATAAATCAACTGCAAACTGCTGCCTGGCGGTTGACTTCACTCCTTATAAATAGCTAATTTGGACAACTTCTCTCCGCACGTCATATGAAATTCAAATACTGTGCATATCGTTAATGCGGTCACACAAATCAAAACTGCTACAGCCTCTTTTATAAGCCTGGGTTGCCACAGAAATGCCACAGCCGAGGGCAGATCGGCTTCAGGTTGCTCTCCCTTCCTTTCGGAGGCGATCCTCGGGAAGCACCAGCAGGTCACTGCGCTCTGCTGCCTTGCCCCAGGGGAGGAGCAGGAGCCCCATGGCCTGGGGCACTGCCTGCACAGTGGCCCAGTTCACTGCTGGTTGTACTGGTTGGCAGCCTTCATCACTCAGGGGGCAATTAGGCCCAAACTCTGCCATGAAAAGCAATCCTGGTTTAATAAACCCAATGGCAAAACTTTACTAAACCAAGGGTTGATTGCGCCCGGGTCTGTCGGCTTTGCAGCGCTTAGCGCTGGGCACAGGACAGATGCACGACCTTCCCTCCTCCCAAAGCACAGCGCGCCGCTGGTCCGGCCCTGCTGAACCCCGACGTGGGATGCAAACTTACCTGGTCCTCCCAGGAGGCTCTTAGTACCGTGCAGAATCCATCCAAGCTAGCCCAGAACTCAGCCCAAAGGCTCTAATCCTGGAAGGTGCTGAGCGACTCTGACTTCTGCTACTCGTCTCTGGATTTTGGCACACGTTCAGCACGAGCAGGATCAGCCCCTTGCTGTAATAATCAGGGAACGAGGAACTCAGCTTGAGTGGATTTCCCCCCCGCCCCCCAATGCAAAAATGCTGTACATTCCTTTATGCAGGTTTCCATAGAGTTGAACTTCTACTATTTTTTTGTTGTCGCCGTTAAAGGGGTCGGCAATGCACTGTACAATGGGATCTGGCTGTCAGGAAATGTGGAGGAATTCAGGGACACTTTTAACATCTTGCTGGTGGGGTTGGAGGGCAGCATTAAAACCAGCATCCTGGAAATCTCCCCGCCAAAGAGGAGGAAAAAGCCCGGAGGAGTCCCGGGAGAAGTTATGAAGACATACTGCTTTGTCGATCAGGAGTTTAAACAAGTTATTTCTTCCCTACTTCCTTTGTTAAAATATGATATTCTAGCTTTAATTGCTTCAATCCTATTACTTGTTCCTTTTAGCAAGTGATTGTGTAGCCCCTTGCCGTGGGGAAATCCCCTGACTGCGGGTCCGTGTTATTTAGACAAGTACTCTTTCAGAAGTAAATGCCATTCTTAGCATAGGGAAGTACTTTAGGTCTAAAGGGGTTAAGAAGGCCTCCCTGCATTCAGAAACATGCAGGGGTCCCACCGTGCCAGTTCCAGCCTTTTGAACTCTTTCCAGCTTTTTTTTCTTGCAACAAATCTGTCTGACTGCCACCAGGACATAGGAAGCGTGTGCCTGTCAAAGAAATCAAGTTTACTTTTTCTGACTTGTTAACAGAGGCAGGGTATAAATAGAGCTAACTCTGCTCAGACTATTAGCATTTCTCTTAAATTAAGGGGGTAACTTCCTAGGACCTTTAATCCAATGAGGTCCAGACCAAACTGCACTATAAACAGAGGCAGCAAAGGAGCTTGCTGAAGTTTTTACCAAAGTCAGGTGCATTTGGGTTCCTCGAAAATTTAAGGCTTACCAAAAAAAAAAATCAACCCCGAGCAAACAAGAACTACCTCCAGCTTGGTCACTGCCATTGCCCTGGAGAAATTCTGAGATGTTGGTGGTGCTGTTCACTCGGTGGATGTGGATCTTGCTGGGGAAGAGCAGTGTCCTCTTGCTTCTGGAGGTCTCTCTGAAAGGGAGAGCTCTACCTCCAATCCGGTATTCCCACGCTGGGATATGCCCCAATGACATGAACCCCAACCTGTGGGTCGACGCGCAGAGCACTTGCAAGAGAGAGTGCGAAGCTGATCTGGTGAGTGATGCACGTTTTTCTCTCCCTGCGTCGCGGGCGACGGGGGTTTGTCGGTGGGCTCGTTTGCACCACAGTCTGCTTGTGCTCCAGATAGATAGAAAGGCGCCGGCGCTGTGCGGGACTTGGTGCAGACAGCGCACGTATTTAATTGACCCGTGACCTATATAAAATAGAAAAGGTGCGATGAGTTACCGGTTAAGTGGGGAGGTGTGTGGCAGCTGTCACTTATGTCGATGTGGGTACAGCACTCGCTCTCTTTGATCATTTTCCTTGCTTTCTTGTCAAAAGAAATGTCCGAATTTGATACTCCAGAACTCGGCATGCCCTGGGGCCAAGCCGTAGTATTTTAGCAGTGTCACCACGCGCTTTGGTGGTGGTGGCCATCATCAATGCTTTATATTCCTGGGAGGAATCCTGTATGAAATGGTTTGATTTAACATGTAAATCATCAGCCTTTGCTGCACTTGAAACACAAAGCGTGCTTGGAGTGCAAAACAGGGGCATGGTTAAAATGACCAGGCAGATGTTCTCTGTGATGCTCCCAGCTCAAAATGTGCTTAGCTTACAACCCTAAAATTCATTTTTCAACCTGTCAGCACTGCCAGCTCAAGCTGGCATCTGAAAATACCTGCTCGTCCTGCCTCTTACATCATGTCCAACAGCAAAGCTCCTGCAGCCCAAACCAGGCTGACAGCAACATGTCCCGTGCTGAAAAAAAAGTCATCGGGTTTATGTTCTGTAGCCAGGTTGTTTCTGCAATGCTAAAAGGAGCAGTGGGGGGGAGCGGATAAAGAAAAAGGCTGGCCGTCAAGTAAACAAAGAGATTTGCTCAGATGGATCCCATGTGTTATGAATGAAGGTGCTGGGTTTACTTTTGCCATTCCCAAATAAGCCCCTTTTATTTCAACTACCAGGTGCAGCAATGAATATTAAAACACTTGCAAAACCCCAGCTGCAGCAGCAGAGGACGTTGTTTGAATAACGTACTGGCCAAAAACTGAAAGCCAGAAGCCACCGGCTAAAAATACTCACTTTTGCTTTGTGGCAGCACAGAGTCCCGGGACCTCGCATGGAGTGAGTGGTCTGCAAGCAGCCAAGGACTCTGTCACCAACTTTGCTAAAGCCACGGTCCTTAACCTCAGCCGAAAACATTACCCGTTCTCGTTTCTAACTGCTTCTGAAACCTAGTAATGTGCTGCTGGAAATGGGGAAAGAGTTATGTTATTAGGTCATCTTTTTCCCAATAAGGAAAGGATACTGGACTCAGGGGAAGCTATTTAGTTTGGTAGCTTAAAAAACATTTCGTTCTCACTTACGGAGAAAGCCATTGGATTTCGGGGGGGTTGCAGAGGTTTAACACACGGTGGAAGTGTGCCCTGTTGTGTACATGGTAGCAGCGTTCATGGTCCCTTAAAGTAATCCATAACAACACAGCAGCTGTGATCACACATATCAAATACCTTTCCTGCACAGAAGATGAAAATTCTGCTAAAATTAACTGCAATTTAGAGCTGACTGTAGCTGAGATGGGGTGTAATAAATCACTAGAAGAGCAATGCTGCATTTGAAAATAGGACTAAAATAGGACAGAGAAGCCATAATGAGCTGTTTTGGGTTTGTTTTTCTAAATACCATAGAAAAATTATTTTTGGAGCAAGAATTTCCTTACTTTTGAGATATTCTATTATTTCCTCTACAATGTGAACAATTACAAATCCTTGGCAGTTTCACCTCCAAGAGTAGGCTGTTAGTCTCAGGGAATTCAAATAATACTTTACATACTTCTGTGGAAAATAAGAAGGATTACTGCCTACAGCCATATGATAAGACTTTCCATCCGCTCTTGTTTCTTAGGGCTTGTCCTCAGGCATTTCGGAGAGTGCGGAAGGGGGGTTGTTGGTTCGGTAGTCAAGCAGTCCATGTGACTCTAGGAAAGACTTATGATGAGGTTAGTGTTTAAGAAACAGAAATACATTTTCCTTCTCGAGAGTCTTCTCTTGAAGCACTTCACAAACCCCAGGGTGTTTAGACACCTCTCGGGAGATACTGGGGGGTGTGTGTGTTTCTACTCATTGACAGTGGGGACACTGAGTTTCAGACCACAGATATCTGTGTCAGACGAGGTCCCCTGAGCTAACATCTCAAAAGGTTCTGGGCGCTCTGCTTGCTGGGTCTCTAAAAAGGACTTTACTCTGTCCCCAGTAACGATCAGGTTATTTTCTTTCCCCGCAGGAGTGCGAGACCTTTGAGAAGTGCTGCCCCAATGTCTGCGGAACGAAGAGTTGCGTGGCGGCTCGGTACATGGACGTCAAGGGGAAAAAGGGGCCGGTGGGAATGCCCAAAGAGGCAACCTGCGACCGTTTCATGTGCATCCAGCAAGGCTCAGAGTGCGACATCTGGGACGGGCAACCCGTCTGCAAGTGCAAGGACAGGTGTGAGAAGGAGCCGAGCTTCACCTGTGCCTCCGACGGGCTCACCTACTACAACAAGTGCTACATGGATGCAGAAGCTTGCATCAAAGGCATTACACTGAATGTAGTCACCTGTAGGTACCATCTGACCTGGCCAAACACCAGCCCTATCCCACCAGAAACAACAGCTCGCCCTACTACTGCCTATTCCGAGACAACGGTCGTCGACATCTTGCCGCCTGCTCTAGTGAACAACCCCGTCCATCAGTCAGTCTACGTGGGAGAGACCGTCAGCTTCCTCTGTGACGTTACAGGGAGACCCAAGCCAGAAATCACGTGGGAGAAGCAGGTCGACGGGAAAGACAAAGTCATCATGAAGCCAAATCACGTCAGAGGGAATGTCGTGGTCACCAACATCGCCCAGCTGGTCATCTACAACACCCAGCTCCAAGATGCAGGCATCTACACCTGCACCGCCAAAAACAGCGGTGGCCTTCTCAGGGCTGATTTCCCTTTGTCAGTCATCAAAGGAGAACCCACATCCAAAGAAGCTTCCCAAAACAAAACGCATTTTCCAACCGACGAGTGCCTGAAGCAACCAGACAGCGAAGACTGTGGGGAAGAGCAGACCAGGTGGTACTATGATGCAAAGAAAAACAACTGCTTTACTTTCATCTATGGGAACTGCAACAGCAACCTCAACCACTTTGAGACCTATGAGAACTGTATGCTAACGTGCATGAATGGCCCAATCAACATTTGCAACCTGCCAGCCCTCCAAGGTCACTGCAAGGCCTATGAGCCCAGATGGGCCTATAACAGCTTGACGAAGCAGTGCCAGTCCTTCATCTATGGCGGGTGCGGAGGCAACGAGAACAACTTTGAGAGCCGGGAAGCCTGCGAAGAGATGTGCCCTTTCCCGAAGAACACGCACTGCAAAGCTTGCAAACCACGCCAGAAGCTGGTGACAAGCTTCTGCAAAAGCGACTTTGTTATCCTGGGCCGTATAACAGAGCTGACGGAAGACCAAGACTCGGGACATGCCCTGGTGACAGTGGAGGAGATTCTCAAAGATGAAAAAATGGGATTAAAATTCCTGGGGAAGGAACCACTAGAAATCACGCTTTTGAACATGGACTGGAGCTGCCCATGTCCCAACATGACCACAGTGGATGGCCAGCTCATCATCATGGGAGATGTCCACAATGGCATGGCTGTCCTACAGCCAGACAGCTTTGTGGGGACCTCCAGCATCCGGCGCGTGCGGAAGCTCCGCGAAGTCATCCACAAGAAAACCTGTGAGCTTTTGAAAGAGTTCCTAGGATTGCATTAACCTCCTTCACACGTGTCAGCCTTCCAGACCCGTGTGTTATGTAGGGCTAACAAGCGCTAGGCTAGTGCACAAACTAAACAAGCTGTTTGAAGATACACTGTAGGAATTACGCAGAACCCTTATTTTAATCCATTAATGATGCTTAGCAACAATGTAGTATGTTCTTTGGCAAGCACGTAAAACAGCAGCAAAAGGCTATTAATCTTGCATTGAAATCAATTCGTCCATATAGGAGTGCCATTTAACTAGATGACTCACTGCAGTAATTACACAATTTTTATGTAGCTTCCATCATAAATGATGGAATTCATAGCATTTGTTTATCTAATTGGTACACAGCTAAGTAATATATAATGTCAACTTAATCTGTCTCATTTACAGTATGGAAATGTTATGGTAAGTCATTATAAGTAAGTCACACTCTTGTCTCCTCATAGCAGCACTAATATTTTAAGAGGAAAGCCTGTAAATTATTGTCTGTATTTACAGTTGTGCACATTTAACCAATCTATGCATTATGAATTTGCTTCTTTTAATTGAAATTTTCCTAGCAGTTTTCTCTGGATCGTACCTCATTTTTAAATGGCAACTACTACCTATCTTGCAATCCTTACTGGACAAAAAACTCCCTTCATCCTACTCCCAGGACAACAGGTCCCTGTAGAAGCTCAAGGCACGGTCTCACCCTGAAATGACTTTTCTGTCATCAGGACAAGGTCAGCAAACACCCTCATTCCATTGCACTTCCCTGTTTCTGTTTTAATCAATATATTGTCTATCCCAAAAAGTCCAAGGCAGAAGGATGGCAGTGTGCTGCCAGCTGTCTTGCTTTTGAAAATCCTTTACACCTGAGCATATGCAGCAATTTATTGCTTATTTTCCTTAGAAATCCTGCTTTTATAGGTGAGAGAGTAAAGTAAGAGGAGTCAGGACAAAATTCAAAATAGAAAAGTGCAATACACAGTCTGCAGACTGTGTCACACAGACACAGAGCTGTTGAAACCAAACTGCACAGACACAGACATGCAGAGTGGGCACTCTTTAAAGGCATTTATCAGTTTGACCCTTTCACAGCATTCTTGCAAACCACGGAAAACATTTTCCGCCAGGCCAATGTATATACGCGTATGAATAAATACCCTAAGACAGCACAGGCTGTGGGTGTGAGCGCGTGCAGACACATAGGATTGATCATTTTAACATTTGTGTGTCCAAAAATGTAACATTTGCCTATGCAAAAATCCTTAAATAAAGAAAAGGCTGATCCTGGAAAAATCCTGCCTCCGCTAAGGACTGTCATTGCAGGGAAGAGGGGCGAGCGTGGCACGGCGAGCCTTATCATTGCTCTTTCTGTGGTGGGTTCGGCGAGTTACTACGGCGGTGCCCAGAGCTTTCTGCCTTGCACAAAAGGCCAGTTGGAGGCTGGACCGGTGTCAAGACACGTTTGGGCGAGAGGAAGGAAGGTGCAGCGAGCGCTACTCCGTGGTGCCATCTGACGGGCTTGCTGCGGGGTGGGCGGCAGGACGGCGGGCACGCGTCTGCTTCTGCACGTGTGTGTTGGGGCTGGGTATGGTAAGGGACGGGGGAAGGAGATTAAATAGGCAGATGCTGGGCTTCAGCATGACGTGCAAGGCTCTAACCGCCCCCCCCCGGAGCCTGCACACGTTGGATATTTTGCTGATGCAGGGAGGAAAACTAACGGTGAGGGTAACGGCGTTGAATGTGGGGCCAGCTGTGGTTTCTGTGAAGGCTTTCCATGCCCTGCACCAGACACGGGCAGCGACCACAGCGTGATGGAGAACTGGGCTCCTCTCCAAGTGGTCTGGGCTTGGGTTACGTCCAAAATGCTCCGGCAACAGGAATGGATCTAAATCTCCAGTTATTTGTATAAATTCAGAAGAAGCTGGGTGGGAGGGAGAGGAGCCTGCTACAGACTTGCTGACCAAGAAAATATCTGCTCGGTTTATCGTTGCACCTTTCCTAAGTGTAAATGAGAAAAACTCCGATTAAAGGTCTATAACGTTTGTGTATGTTCTTGTGAAGACCATTTTCTGGAGCTGGGAGATGCCGGCTCCGCTGCCCTCCGAAGCGGTTAGCACCTCTGCCAGATCATCCCTGGCTGTAGCAAGTGTCACTTGTTTTGATGGCTCATCTATCATTTTTCAAGCAAGCCGTAGGAAGTGGCATGTTCTTGCCGTACTTTCTAACACAGAGGCATCGGAGGATGAAGGTTTAATAAAGACTGGCTTTATATGGCTCTTTTTTTTTCCAAAAGCTAAAGGATTTTGCAAGTGTGGGAGTGTTGGAGTGACTCGGGAGACATGTACCCGGTTGTTCCAGAAGAGCTGGGATGCAAACGTAGCTGAGAGCAAAAAGCACACGATTCATTGCTTTTCCAGCTAGCACATTACAGGGCTTAAGCCTGGGGCCTAAAACGCAGCCTTAACTTCTACTCTGTTAAACCCCTGGGAATTAAGCCTGCACTTAAGCGAAGTAAGCGTGCAAGTGATCTGCTGCGCTGCGACCCAGGGTTGCGCAAGGCGTAGCGTGTCTCCCAGCCCCCTTCGGGCACGCGGTCCTGCTGTGCGAGGGCTTGCTTGCGCAGGGGGATCCCAGGGACATTTTGGGTCAGTTTTCCAACGTGGTGCAATGCAAGGGGACACCGAACAGGCCAGCCCAGCTCCCAGACACAGTACGGCCACGCTCGCGTAGCTCCTGCCCAAACCTACGGAGCCAGATTGCTTCCAAGCCCCGCGGTGTGTGCGGGACGGCTCCGTGCCGGGTAGACGCACCCTCGACACGAGGACGAGCATCAAACCCAGCTGCCGTCCCTCACCGGTCCCACATGGGGACGCGCTCCCTACTCTGCTACGGATCGGGTTGATCCGTTCGGCTCCCGTGGTGCCACGCAGGCACGCCAGCCGGGACCAGCTCGGTGCCAGCAAGCAGCCCCACAGTGACAGGTCGCCCCGAGAAAACAAATATTGGACGTGACCAGCCCCACTGGGAGACCCCCGGGGGCGCAGGGGGCTGCGCTCTGCTGCGCTGAAACACCACGTCCGTCCCGAGGCAGAAGGAGCAGCGCCATGGGCGTCCCCTCGCCTGCTCGCCGAGGGGGAAAAACCATCCCTGGCCATCCCGAGAGCACCGCACCTCCCCGTGGCATGGGACTGACCCTAACCCCGAGCCTCTCCACCTTCTGACCTTGAAGAATTTAGCTCTCCACTCAAAGCTAGTATTTTAGTTCAGCCTCTCATTAAACCCTTAAGAAGCCTAAAATTCAAGTCTGACCAGTCAGCCAGCCTGAGGAAAGCCTACGCACAGGGCCAGGCGCTGAAGGATGTCGTTAAAGCCTTTGCAAGGCTAATAGGTACTTGCATGCGGCTCCTGAGCAGAAAATCCCTTTTGTGTTGCTCATGCCCTCAGTTTTCCGTCCTGCTCTCTGGGGTGCATCTCTCTAGGTTGCCAGAAAGCTGGAAGGACACGCCGGTATTTAAAGTTTGTATTAAGCATATGAAAGGAGAGAGAGAGAGAAAGGGAAAAGCCTGCTTGACTCCTCTCCTTGCATGGCAGTGGGCTGGGAAGGAGCACGAGCGCCTGTTTGAGGCTCCAGGGAAGAGCTGGAGGAAGGATGCCACCTCCAAAGCTGCATGGCCACGGCCAGCGGCCGCTGTCAAAACTCTCCTCCACGTGCGGACACCAGAGAAGCAGCGTTTTCTGCAGACACTGGCCTGGGAAGCAGCAAGGGAGCAGAGCCACGTTAGCGGGGTGGGAGACCTGCAGGACATCCCCGGGGCTCAGGGATGGATCGGGGAGGCAGGAGGAAAGCGCAGAGCCGCTGGTCCCAGCGCGGCATGGCCACCTCCCGGTCTGGAGCGAAGATGAAATGTGCAACACACGAATCTGCAAGCCCTGCAGCTAGAGCTCAATGGAAACCATCTAGCAGATGGATCGGAAAATGAGTCACGGGTTATCGTGCAAACCGTCTGTGCGGCCCGGCTATATTAACAGGGGGACAAAATACCAGCAAAAAAGCGATGGCGTGCAGCTTCTGCGCAGGAGACTGCTAGAGCACGTCCAGATTACGTACGGGGCCTGATGCATTATACAGCCGGCGGTGCAGGGCACGAGGGCCTCGTGGTAGCACGCACGGAGAGATGGCTGGATGATTACTCAGAGATAGCATCCCGCATCACCACAAAGCCCAGAGCAGCTGAGGTCAAAGGAAAGAGGAAATTGAGTGTGTTCTCATTGCAGGGGCTCGAGATGAGGTCAGGCAGAAGTTTTTACAGGCAACCAGCTCCAGAACTAGGAGCAAACAGAGATGATGACACCATTGGAATATGATTCAGACAGCAAAGGTATTTAAGAGCTTAGTTCCCAGTTGTTGCAAAGGGAATTAGGGACCCCTGCGAGAATTACTGCCTGGCCACGGGTCTGGGTTCCTGAGGGAGGCGGCTGTGACGAAAGTCATGCACGGCTTCAGCCAGCAGCTAATGACTTCCCGCGAAAAGGAGGAGTAATTCAGCTGGCACCAAATGAACACCTTGCACCACAAGACCCACTTCCTCCACCTGAAGCACCTTGCGCCCTGCTTTGCTGTAATTTGTGCCATGTGCACGTGCTGTGAAATTCTTCTGCGTAGATATTTACCAGGAAAAGATCATGGCCAGGCTGGGTGTATACACCGAGGCTGGATGGAGCCAGGTTTCCGAAGGCACGGCTGCGAAAATGTCACCCTGAGCGAGAACTGCGAGTTTAAAGCCTGTGTTTTTATACCAAATATTTAGTGTTTTCCCCTTCACCAGCACTGGTTACTGATTGACTACAAGTGACCTCCAACCGCCTTATTGATTTACAGTGGCTGTCAAAGGACAAGAAATGAGCCCCATGTCCAGGATCTGAGAAATACTCTGAATGGAGGTTGCACAACTGAATAAATGTTCTGCCAGCTCTTTAAATCTTGAGGGAAAAAAAAAAAAGGTCTGCTTGAGCTCCTGATCTACAATGCAAACACCAGTGGGATATGAAGATAACACTGCAGCACTAGCGGACATATCTATTAGCCAAAAAGGCGGCGCAGCCTGTTTAATTCACAGCTATTTATGGTTCGGCAAATGATATGACATTCAGGCCTGAGAGTTTAGAAAGTGAATGGGAAGTCTTCCAAAGGCTGCTATGTGGTTCAGGTTTCAAAGTCAGGAAACTCTCTGATTTCGGTGTTTTCCTCTGTGCACATCCCTATCACCACCTTTCTTCAGAGCCAACCCTCCGCGGTACCAGCTTGCGCTGGGTGCTTACCCAGCCCACCCTGAACTGTGAGCCCAGCCGGCACAGTTTGGAGGGTCTCCTCCAAACCTCAGGCTTACTGGTGGACACGGACCTGCACGTGCTGCAGAAGCCCGTGGTCGCAGCAGCTCTGACAACGGCAATGAGAGCAAAACCCAACGGATGTGAATTACGGCCAGTTTGGGGAGGGGACAAGCCTCTTCCAGACCCCACTC